TCAAACGGATGTTCTTAGGCTACCCAGAGGATACTTGGTCAAGGACCGGAAGTCGTGAGCTGCTTGAGTCATATGTAAAAGAATCGTTTCTGGCCAATCCCAAGTGAATGGCGATCAGAAAACTTTCCTCACTTGCGTGAACTTCTACACATGACTCCATCCTTATAGAGGTGTCTAGGAGACTGTATTTCAGAGTAACAAACGAAACATTTTTTTTTTGTTTGAATCACCCTAATGTACATATACATATGTATACCGTGAGCGGCGAAAATAAGCAAACAGCAATTCTATTCATATTAAAGTGTTTATTACAATGCAGTTTTGAATACAATAATTAAGTCGTTAAAATGTCAAATTTTGCAATGGGTAAACGATGAGAAACAGAAGACAGTCGGAGAAACAGTAAAAAAAATGATTGATAAAAATGTTAAACATCAGATTGTTGAAAATTTATCACGCCGACCAAAGCGTCTGACTGACATTGAAACGCGATGAAAAGTACGGGAAGTAAAACAAATCCAGCTTCAAACGCTGTTCAAATAAGAAAAGATATAGCGGAGACATCTGGTAAACCATTAAGTGCTAGTAAAATCAGGAGAACATTGCACAAAAGCGGTTTGCACGGACGAGTATCACGCCAAATGTCCTACAGATCAAAGGCGCATCGACAGATGAATTTGGAATTTGCAAAATATAAATTAGGCTGAAAACTTTTAGGAAAACATCTTTTATACGTACGAAAGCCAATTTGAAATATTTGAATCGACAGAACCTCATAAAATTTGGCGATCTAAAAATAAGTGTGTAAATAACACCGTAAAGTACGGTGGAGGATCGGTTATGGTCTGGGGTTGTATGTCAGCCCCTGGTGTTGGGAATTCGGTTTTTATTGAGTCTATGATTAAAAAATTGGACTATTTCGATATTTTAAAAAATAACTTTGCTCAAAGCATAGATATATTAGGACCCTCAGGAAACACAAGTCCAAAAAATCAGGCAGAGAGACATTTCAAGCTTAATAATGCTTTGTTTAAAAAATGGAGCAAGATCTCCACAGAATTTATAATAAATTTAGCAGAATACATGCTTAGAAGAGTAAGTGAGGTCCAGAAGTCCAAAGGAAAAGAAAAGACCAAGTGTTCAGTCACAATGCGATAAATCGATGTTTTAGAAATGCTTTAGAAATGTTCAAATTTAATAAAACGAAAAGAGAAAGGATCTCGCGCACCTGGTTTTCGTTACGACGTCGAGCAACCAACATCTTCGCTTTCCGCAGCACCCCGGTTCCGATCCGCTTAAACGAGTTATAGTTATATCTAATATATATTTAACGTTTTTTAAAACCTACTGGTTCCAATATATATAATTGATCAGTTTATATTTATATAATATACATTTAACGTTGTTAAACTATCCAATACTTSAGTTCAATTAAACCCTTATTACAATAAGTGTGAAGTGAATTTCGCAGAAAATAAAAGTTTATAACGATCTTTTGAAATTGGTGCATTTTATTTTACCTAAAAGTGTGAGTGGCCTGAAAGGTGAGTTACTGTACAATTTGTTTTTTCCCAAATTCAAAATAATTACGAAACTAGAAAACTTATATTCTGACTCGTACGCCATGATCATTTTTGGATTATTTATTTTCGTATGCTGGATTATGCTGGAAGTCCATTTGACTAAGTTAAATTTGCGTCAGTTTAATTTAGCAGTTTACAAGTTACATCCAATGAGCGTTGAGTAAGAATAAGGTTGCTTTAAATCCATCAATTCAAGATTTTGAATGTTTAGACTTAATTAAATCTATACCTGAATTCAAAGGGGTTTACGCTTCTTACCCAGGACTGCGAAGTGCTGCGCAATTCGCAGAAGCATTTGCATTAGATAACTCAGTAAGCTTTATCGATCAAGACCATTGTTACACCAATGTCAGACGAGAGAGACGAGAAGCCATAATTTAAACAAACCTATCCCGATGAAAGTTGATAATGGTTCAAGCTTTTACAGGCATCGTAATAATTCGCGAACTTCCTCTTTACCGAAAATAGCGTTTACTTCTAAATGTAATTTAGAATCACAGAAACCACATCTATCTCGCTAGTGGCATTCAAACGTAGTAATATTCCATTACTATCTGATCGTTTGGATACAGAAAGTTAATTTTATACCAAATAAAGTGTTATCTTCGTATATTTATGAAAAACAAAGCATTGATGACGATTGTTAACAAAATGAAGAAGCTCGCTATAATTATGATGATTTTAAACGAAAATCGCTCCTACCATTTATAACAAAACAGAGCAAAAACGGTCTTCGTACATAATTATAAAGGTTAGTTAAGAAATAAGAGTGAAACCACGAAAATATAATTTACATATGTATAATAAACCGAAGGGTGCTATAAGCATTTACATACATTGCATCTGAGTGTCAACAGTTCCTTGAATGCTCCGCACAGTCTTTGTAGTACGAATATTTCCTGAGCAGCTAAAATTTTTAAACTCTGTGCACGGATCCAAATTCCAATTTATGTTTCCTTGAATACTGTCAGCAACTGCGTGACATATTATTTCTGTGCATTCTATAGGGGGGGGAGATGTTGAAACACATTCATCAGTGCTGGAAAAACACTCCTTTGGTAGGCGCGAAGGAGCTGTACTTATTAAAAATAGTATTGGTGATGCAACCAACAAGGCTGTTACCAAAATTGTAGCCGTCGTTATAGCAATTTTATGAACGGTTGTCGAAGTTCGCAACCAAATACAAGGTGCACAACACATCCATTCTAGGGTAGCATTCTGCAAAAAAATACAAATTTTAGAGAGCCGTTAATGTTAATTTTTGATAAGAATTTGTACAAGTAAAAAAATAAAAATTTATTATATACCTAGGTATGTATACCAGAATGAGGTGATTTTTTCTACTACCAATCATTGTGAACAACTTTGCCTAAAATACTATAAATATGTCTAAAACCGGTTTCGAGACAGCGATTTGTCAGACTTTGTCAAATAAAAAATATTAACAGCTTTGAAAAAATAAAATTCAACTTTGAAAAATCAAAGTAAGTAGTTATGAAGGAAACCAATTTTGAAAACACGAGTTGTGGGAAAAAGGCTTTAGAATTTTGAACTCAAAGTAAATTCTTCACTTTTATTGCCGATTATCGTTGAGTGAACAACAGCGCGCCGGTCTTTTATTCTAACAATTGGCGCCAAGTGAAGATACCAAGGCCAATGAGTCAATATCATCGATGTTAATCGTAGGTGTGAGTGAATTTATTTGTATCGGTATTCTTGAAGGGGCGTTTGCAACTACACATGTTTTACCAGGTTTGTAAGATAGTTCTAATTATGCTCTTGAAAAATGGTTTTCCATCGCTTCATTTTACTGTTGGTGTTCTTATAACTTAAGGCACAGGTAAGACGCTGATGGTTGGTCTACCGTATTGCGATAGGACGGCAAAATCGGAATTTGGATGTATTAAGACTATATCTTTGAATACTTTTTTATTTTATTGAATGCTTTTAAGGCCTCGTTGATTTTCTTTACATTTTTCAGCAAAGCGCTGTATTGAAGCAGAGGGAGACTATTTTGAATAAAATAAATTGATTTTGCGGAAATTTCTGTTTTTTTTTTAAGTCCTGCTTACTTGGGATCGCACCTTGTAATGTAATTAATTAATGCACTTTGGTCGAAATTTCGAATTTAGAGTAAAAAGCTCTGTTGTTGTTAAAATAATGCAAAGAAATATTTCGAGAAGGTCGCCGTGGTCGTTAACTATTTATGCGTGTTGTTCGTTATTATTAATTCTATTGGTCATGTTGCCCATTATTTGACATAGATATAGGGCTTGCGGCAAGGTTGTTGGTTCTCGCATGCTCAGAAGACGTGGTCCTTATGCATTCGTCACTTAAGTCAAGTGATCATCTCGTATCCAAGAGTACCTACAGGGCCTGTCCGTATCCGAATATTGCGTCATGAATCATTTTCGAATTTGACACCATGCTCTACTGCGGTATCAGCATCGACACCCATTTTGTGCCTAATTGTATGTAGTATGATAGAGGTGTTATTAACCCCATCGTACTCTTTAAAGATTGTACCAACATTTTTTTTCAGAAGGTATTTTTATCTGGTCGTTCTGAAATTTCCTTAAGGCATTTTACCATGTTACGGATTTAGTCTAGTTCATTTATTCTATGAGTGTTCAGCGTAACGCAGTAATCAGTTTTATCGGTTACAGTCGGTATTAAAGTGGGGTTAGGGGTGACAGAGTTTACGGGATAGGTGGTTTTAACATTATCTATCGTCATTTGATTTAACTGTTCAATCAGTTTCTCTGCTGTGTTTAGTGTTTTGTTATTTTTTTTACATTCGGTGGTACAAATCTTCCACTTTTTTCATATTTCACAATAGCAACATGTTTTTTTTTTCAGTAATTACTGTTTATTTTTTCAATAATATTAAAAAACATTGTGATAGAAATTATTTCCCAGGGTAATAAGTTATTTTTCTAATTTTTATGTTTGTTTATATAAAAAGATACTTTTTGGAGCTAATTGTACTAAATGCTAAGCCTTCGTTTGCAGCTGCAACGGGTCGGTATTTGCTGACTTTGGTTTCCCACAAGGTTTGTACTACACGTGTCGCATTCTCAGCGATTTGGTTGGTGTCGTATTGTATTACTTTACGGCTTACTTGTTCAAAAACGAATATTATTATTTGTGGTATATGCGATTGGGGTAGTACTAACTCGATTTTATGTATTAATTCTCAACATAAAACATGTCAAAAAACTGTTCCCTGGTTTTGGAGGATGGAGTCATGTGTAGAAGCTCACGCAAGTGAGGAAAGTTCTCTGATAGCCGTTCACTTGGGAGTGGCCAGAAACGATTATTTTACATATGACTCAAGCAGCTTACGACTTCCGGTCTTTGACCAAGTATCCTCTGGGTAGCCTAAGAACATCCGTTTGAAGGCGAGCTAAAGTGAGAGGGCGAAATATCCCCTACATAGGGTTGTGCGCTGGGTTTGGGACCCGCCACGTAAAAAAAACACCCCCAATGAAAAATTTTCAACAGCCTCGGATGAGAGAACGACGAGCTGTACGAGATACATGATGACATTGACATAGTTCAACGAATTAAAAGACAGCGGCTATGCTGGCTAGGTTATGTTGTCCGCATGGACGTAAACACTCCAGCTCTGAAAGTATTCGACGCTGTACCCGCCGGGGGAAGCAGAGGAAGAGGAAGACCTCCACTCCTTGGAAGGACCAGGTGGAGAAGGACCTGGCTACGCTTGAAATATCCAATTGGCGCCACGTAGCGAAAAGAAGAAACGACTGGCGCGCTGTTGTTAACTCGGCTATAATCGCGTTAGCGGTGTCTACGCCAATTAAGAAGAGAAGGTTTTCATTAAGCTACCTCAAACACAATCACCGACTCATTTGGAGTAAAATAAACCAAATGTTCGAAAATCCTGGTATTATTCGGCACTAAGATACACTATTATGACTAAAACACGCCGTCCMATTTTCTTTGAGGTATCTTAAATATTGGCCGATATATGCAGTATAAAGTCATCCGGCAGTTCGTAAGTCTTTATAATAGGTATATGGGTGCTCAAAGAAGTATTGATCCTCTTCAAGCCATTTCTGTATATACAGAGTAAATATTGTCAGAAAAAGATTCTCTCTGATTTTCAATTGTTTATTCCCTACAATTACCGATATTGTCGGTTAAATTCAACTATAGATACTGGGGCCCTAGGAGCTTAAACTATTTTTGGTAGATTTTGGGCATACTTTAAAGAAATTATTCGGTAAAGTTTTATATAATTTTATTTATTGCTTCCTGATTTGAGTACGGGAAAGTGAAAGAGTCAAATGGAATTTTAAATTGTGCTTATGGTGTGGATGTTGTCTAATTTTGTCCACTTTCGTACTTTAACATAAGAATATGAGAAGGATGCCACGTACTAAATTTAGTCCAAAATGGTCAGTTGGATAACGAGATATGTGATTACACCAAAAAGTGGGTCCATCGAACAATTTTTACCTCTACTCGAACAAAGCTCTATATTTTTAAAGTTTAATGTCTTTGATGCATTTGATTACTGATTTATTGCGCTTTGAGTAGTTTTGAATAGTTTTTATAGTTTTTCAGCTGGGCAAATTAGCTTGTTGTACCTTCAGTGGCTTAGGAGATACGTACTGTTTAAATTAGTTAAGCATCAACCCACTCTACCCGGAAAAACTGGCACACACTAATAAAACACTGCTCAATGCACCATATCTGATGACACCATACTAATACATGACACAACTCACCACACTTCTACATCAATCAACACACTCAACAAAAAGGATGGGCAAAGAATAGAGAACACATTCGTTTTATATACTTTCGCTCGTACACTGCCCACGTCGACACCTCGTGCTACTTTCCCTCAATTGTACAAATCAACCACGATTAACGTCAACTTGATCGCCAGCACCCACAAATATTTCCCGGAATTTGAGTGACGGGGCCTCACTCGTCGATAATCATATTTAATTAATTTATAAAATATAAAAATGTTTATTTAAATAAAATTGATTAAAAAGCCAAGTCTATTAACCAAAATACAGATATTTTTGGTTTAATTAACACAGTGGTGGGTGCTCCCCAATATACTGAGTACAAACTTATTCATGGTCCTTCGAGCCTTACCGAAAGGCACCTTCGGATTTTTATTAAAAGACAGTTATATTTAATTATATTAAAAATAAATAAATAAGATCAACCAAAAAGTTACATATATATATAAACAGTGACAAAGTGCTGTGAACAGAACATGGATACATATATGTATATACACAAATTATGGTGACAAAAGTTAAAAAAAGTAAATGCTCAGTAACAAATACAGTAAGAGATCCTGTTTCGAAAAGCTCTTTGAAGAAGAGAACATAGTCCCTCGGGAAACGGTATACAAAAGTTGTGTGTCGAAATTTAATAATTAGTCGCAGCAACCCAAGAACGCATTATTTATGAAAAGTGTTGTCGAAACGTTGTTCCCGACACATGCCTCTATGTGGCATATAGGAAATATTAAACGAAACGAAGCTACGGCCTCCCTATTAGTCACAGAAGACAATCTATTGGCTATTGCGAAAAAAATCAAAAGCTCCAAAGCGCCATGAATAGATGGTATACCAAATAGAGCCCTTAAAGAAGTCATAACTCTAAGACCCAGATTGTTTGTTAACAAGTACAATGCTTGTATATTAGAAGAAGTATTCCCTGATCCGTGGAAGATATAGCGTCTGGTTCTACTGCCAAAGTCAAATAAGAAAACAGAAAAACCTTCATCTTATCGACCTCTTTTGTACGAAAGTACTGCAAGAAACCGCTTGGAGTTAGCAATCCAAAAAGCTTTCGGATTATTAGAGAGACAATACAGGTTTATTAAAAGAGGTCGACTCTTGACGCATTAAGAGAAGTAGTTGATACTGCAAAATGTGCAATAAGTGGAAAAAGATGGAAAGGTGGTGTAAAAAATACTGCGCGCTAATAACCCTGGATGTGAATAATACGTTCACCTCCGCAAAGTGGGCAAATATAATAAAAACTCTACACGATATACACGCTCCTCTTTATCTGACGGACGAGGGCACTCAGAGCTACACTATCTCCAGTGGAGTACCGCAAGGCTAGGTTTTAGGCCCGCTGCTATGAACCTGATCTATGACGGGGTGTTAAGAATACCGCAACCAAAAAATGTGAAAACAATCGCTTATGCGGATGATCTC